TGGGATCATGAGATGTGGCTTCACCTGACAGAATGGGAATGGCGTATTGATGATCGGGGGCATGAATTCACCAAGTTTGCTGCATGCTTTAATTTGTCAGACGTCAAGCATGGTTAGCAGGGGACAGAAGTAGAGGGGCGGTGTGAACTCTGGTGTAAACGCTTTGCCTGGCATCCCGATCACTCACTCCCTGAATTAAACATGGGCCCACCTAGGGTTTAACACGCTAATGAGCAGCAGGGCCATGGAGAGATTTCCAAGCAGCCCAGGATACGAGGGTGGGAGTGGGGAGGTGTTTTTCTTCCTTCTTTCTTCTTTTTTTTTAGAGGAAGGTAATTCTCTCTCTCTCTCTCTCTTTTTTTTTTTTTCATTTTGATGTTCCTTCTGTTTTGTTTTGTAGCGCCTCTTCCACATTTGACTTCAGATGATGTTGATAAAGCCTTACAAAACTCTCCACGGTTAATGCATGCTAGAAACACAGGTAATGCTGGCCCTGCCCCTTGCCCACAGGACAAATGCAGGGTCTTGCCCACAGGTTGCATGCTTTAAAGGTGGCACGCGGGATGGGCAGCGAATCAGGAAGGCAGAACAGAGAGAGGATGATTGAGGGGTTCCACACACGGGGGAGGCTCTTGCAGGAGGTACCAGAGCCTACAGGCAGGGGGCGCCCTTTGGTTTCCAAGCACTGCCCACTCCCTTTGACAATCAAAGGACTTTAACCCAGTGATGTGCAGAATTAGCCTTTAGCCATAGCCTTAGCTCACGTTTGCTGGATTATAATCTGCTGCTATTAGTCCCCAAATATGCACTGTGCTGACTGTAGAAATTAAAAGCATCTTCGATGAAAAGGGGCCCTTATTATTCCTTTTTTTTCCTTTTCATTCTTAAAGGAATGTGTACTAGGACAAGCAGGAGTTTTATTTTTCCCTTTTAGAAAACGTTTTAGGACATTTGACTTGTCTTGACTTTAGTCTTCTTGCACAGACTTTGGACATCGGCAAAAGGCAGTAGAAAGGAATGCTCGTTCGTTACTTTGTGTGAGCTTGTGTTGAAAGGGAAGCTATGTTATAATTTTGGAAGATATGAAATTAGGGGCTAACCCAATCCCTGCTCTTCTGTCCCGAACCACAGATTCTGCATTCTCTTTATGTATTGCCTGAGCCTAGTAGAGTTTAACAGGATCCTTCGTCTCTGCTAACCTTCCCCCCCTCCGCTCATAGTAGAAGCTGGCTTTCTGCGGACGAATGTGCCCCTGGCTGGCCTCTGTTGTCTCCCTCCTGATAGAGACCATCATAGAAGCATGGCCACAGGCTGCTCACCCCACTGTATCAGCCTGCTGGGACCCTCTGCCACCACCCAGGCTAGGGGAAAAACCTTCATGTTCTGGCAAGGCGTGGGTAACCCGCTTATAAGCCAAGAAGCCTCACATGGAAGCACAACCGTGTTCCAGCCATTTGCCAGTTTACTTTAAAATGTGTCATGTGAGTGAGTCCAGGTCTGAGTGTTACAATGAAATTGCTGCTTAATCTTGGTCCTCCATTTTCAGAATGTTGTGTTTTAATGTAAAGGAAGAAAAAAAAATGCTTCGAGTCAGTCGTGCACTTTTTCAGCGTAGGTTACACACATCAGCCTATTAATGACCTTGTGGCCAGAAATAACAAATAATTTAGACAAAGTAATTTCCTTCTCTTAGGAAACACCTTTGAGCTATACACATTTTCTGATAATTTCACAGTTGTTTTAAAAAAACGTATAACAGCAAGGGGAAGGTTTCAAGAAAGCTCTGTTTTCCTTACTTTCGTGACTGTGGAACATTGAACAATCGAAGAAAAGGACAACCAATTCCAAATGGACCGAACTGCAGAAAGGGATTTTTTTTCTCCTAACGACAGGGGCGTTGATTGAGAGAGAGAGACCGGGAAACATGCATTTGAATAGAGATGTGGAATCATTTTTAATAAGATCCATATAGTCTTTGGCAACATATTTGTAATTCTTTGGTACGACTTTCCAAGGGCTCTCTCAAATGTTTTATGGATTTTTATGCAATTTAAAAATGAAAATCACACCATAGAATTTTTTTTTTTTTAATAAAATGAGATTGCTGGCAGGGAGATGGACACACAGATGGGCTTCAGCAAGAAACTGTAAGATCAAAACACAAGACACTTTATCACGAACGGGGCACAGGACAGTTTGCCATCCACTTCCATAGTCAGAATCGATTTCTGTCCCTTGTACCTGTCCGTCCCTTCCTCCCCAAAGTCTGGAGTGGCAGGCTCGAGGGGGGTGCCTCCCTTTGGTGTCACAGGGCAAAGTAGATTTGGCACTGTTGCTGAGATCAACCACCACAACAACAGACCTTCACATGTTTTGTCTTTCCTTTTGTCTGCAGGGGGTGCAGCTTTTATATTCCCAAATACTTCAGTATATCCTGAAGCTACGCAAAGAATTACAACTAGGCCAGGTACGAAAAGATCTGTTCCTTGAGAGACATCCCAGGATGTCCCGTGAGATCCGTGACCTAAGTCACGTGAGTCAGAGGGAAAGATCCTGGGTCTTGAAGGGAGTCCTGAGCAGTCTCATTGTGCCTCTGTGGATTGGGAGCCTAAATTCGGTCAGACCATTTCATTCAAAGATCACACTAAAGGTCCCTGACTGCAGAATTCAAAGCAGACCAGCCCCTCGATGAACTCCTTTAAAAGACCGATGGGCAAGGATGGGCCCCGGATGCCTGGCAGTAAGGAATCCGTCTGCTTTTGAGGTCATGGAAAGGCTTACACGAGGAATCCCCTTAGCGCTAGGGACGGATTCCCAGCATGTCACAAGAGCCAGTCCTTCAGGGCAGAAGCATGTAGTAGATAAAATTTACAACAGACTCTTACCTTATGTCTTTCCTGAGGATTTCTCTAGGTAATTGATTTGCATATCATTCGTGAAAAAATAAATATTATCCAGGGTTTATTAGTGACAAGCACAATGTTACATTCTGGGAGCATGAGGATGAGCCAGACTTCAGAAAGCATCCCATCTTCAGAGAGCTGGCCTCTTCATTCCACAGATGTCCAGGGAGTCCCTCCTGCGTGCCAGCCACGGAGGTACAATGCAACCAGCTCGTAGGAGCACATACACGCTTTGCCCAAAGGTCTCGATGTTTCGGTAGAGCCACCTAGAGCCGGAGACAGACTAACACACCTAAGTATTTAACCTGTTCTTTCCATATCCGTTCATGGATCTGAGACTCATGTCTTCTAGACACAAGTTGTCACCCTTTGACCTCTGGCTCACGTCCAGGCTACACAAGACTCATTTTGATTTTGTCCAGGGCGCTAAGCTTGGCACGCCTGTTTCTTTGCAATGAGAAAGACTGGGGACCAGTGAGCTAAATAGCATGAGTGAGGAAGCTTCTCAAAACTGCTCCCACTCTGACATTACCCTGTTACCGCCTTAGTACCTTCAGGCCAGTGATTATCCTCTTCTCCAACCTTGGAGGAAGGGTTTGCTGCCCTGCTCCTGGGGAACATGATGGAAAGGCTTAGCCAACGTGCTTACTTACCTCTGTCCTATGAGAGACCTTCCAGGCCATTTAACTGGGGACAAGACCCAGTGTCTGGAGTGAGCTAGACCACGAAGAACCCCACCATTTACCTCTAATAAATGAATCCTTGGGAAAACAAACAGAAGTGTAGGAAAATCACAAAGGTTTTGTGAGCCTGTAAAAAATAATTCCATCCATACTTTAAAAAAAACTATCTAAAATGGGGGTCCAGGGCTCGTTTGCTTCCTTGCTTGTTTGTTTATTTGAAGCTACCTCATAGGTGCCCCTGACTGAGTTGCAAAATCCAGGGATTGTGAGCTAGTGTTGGAGTTTTGTCAAAAGATCACAACATTGGCCAAATCCATTGGTACAGCCCAATGGTCAGACCAGCTAGCTGGTTGCTTGTTGCTACATAGGGACAGTGAATCCTGGAACTACTTCTTTTTCATATTTTAGGATATAGATTTGGAAGATATGGCCTCCCAGGTGTATGGAGAGGGAGAGCTGGGGGGTGATGTCTGGGACACCCCTCTGTGCTTCGGCCCTAGGAAAGACAGGTGGCCAAGTCAGATGCACCTTGCATAGCTCTGATAAGGCTCTTCCTTGGGGCCGTCATCTGTGTGTGACCTGGAAGAGATCACACCTCCATATCTCCATACCAGTAAAGTATGTTTCTGAGACTCAGTTTGTATCAAAAATACCTATTTTGATAACTGCTACTGTGATTGTGAAGGGGGATACACACAATTTGGGATATGAGCTGTAAAGACTTTGAATCAGACCGAACAAGTTTGCTGACAGCCAGATTCAGGGGTTTGACCTTGGAGAAGAGAGTTACTTCTCTACTTAGGTGGAGGCAGGGATTGACCTTGAAGGAATGCACACATGGACATTTCACTGCTTTGTTCATACCTCTCCCTTCTCTTCCCAGGCTTGCTCCTATTTGCTTTGTCCAAATGTTCCTGATTCAAAATACACCCTCTTTCATGATCCCGTTGTTGAGTTAGCATTTAGATCTGTCTCTCCCCTACTCTTATAGCGCATTAGTACATTGGCATATCATTTTACGTTCTGTTTTTCATGGTCATGGTTTTAGGGTGTCTCATGTGTTTTTTGGGTTGTATCACATTAGAACTACTAGAAGCTCTTTCTCCATCTCTCCTGTAAGTACCCTCCTTCCTTGCTGAACACATGCCTTTTGGAGCCATGGCCCCTTGAGGTCTCAGGTGACATGAAAAAGACAGGTCTGACTCATCGAAACTTGCATGCTGGTTTTTGACCTCGTGATGTACCACCCCGCCTGGCATCCTAGGGGCAGTTTATAGGAAAGCTCTGGTGTATGCCAACGGGGACATTCTGAAATCCCGTCTCTCGTCCTCCATCAGCATCCAATCCACGGATCATGACACACATCTAGAATGTTCTCAAAAGAGACTGGAGGGTTGAGCCAGCAAATGCAGCCTTGACTTTTGCTTTGCAGCTGGTGATCTTCAGGGATTTCTCAGAATCTTAAGCAATACCCCCGTTGTAGTTCACAACTTGGTGACGTTGAGCGACAAGGCAATGCAGCTAATGCACGTTCTCCTCCGTCAGGTGCTATGTAAAGCTATATCCCAGCTCATGGCTAAAAAGGCACTCTTTGCTTCCCCCCCCCCCCGCCCCACCCGGCTAGACTCATCACAGCAATCTGCACAGCTAGGAGACAAAGGAATGCAAGATGTTCCCAGATTTCCATGTCTTTGATAGAGGATTTTAGAAGCCTGGAGAAAGGTCTGGAGGAAAACAGGGGAGAGTGACTTAATCACATTAGGGTTAACTCCAGAACTTCTTTCCATTGAGTAGGGGTTTATCAGTTGGTCCTAAGCAATAGCTCTCAGTCTTTCTGTCTTTGCATCAGCATCCAGGTTCACTGACAGCAGGCAGATCCCATCCTCCCCACCCGGGCCCCCGCCCCCAGCCCAGCCAGGGCCCTTCAGCTCAGCTTTGCAAATGTGGTGCAAATCCTGCAGAACAAGGATGAGCTCTCCTGTGGTCTAAGTTCTGGTCCATTAAAATAAAGTGGGCAGGTAGACATCCTGAGGGCTAGAGGATGTTCGTCTTTAAGCTTGATGAAAGCAGAATACAAAACTTGGTGGACTTAACCCTGCAGGAAGGAGAATAGAATATACATGTTGTCTTGATTCACTGATGCCCAGGGAAGGGAGTGAGTGGGCGGGGGAGGAGTCTCATACAAAAACAGGAACCAATCCCAGCTCCCAGGAGATAAATCAAGGTGTTAATGTGGAGGGACCCAACGCCAGTCAAACTCCTTATTTTCAGTTTCGTGCTTCTTGATCTGGATCATGGCATGAAACACACTTCTGTGGTGACCCTAAGCTGCTCCTGAATGCCTTTTATGAATTTTGGTTTCTAAACACACAGCCTGTTACAGAAGAAATAGCAGACCCGATGCCAGAAAGCAGTTCTTCTCTGACACGGGACCTTCTGCCAAGTGTATGAGTTAATCACCTCGAAGATCACAGTCCAAGAGAGATGGAGAGCGTGTTGAACTGAGTGCCAAAAATGAAATATAAAATCTGTTCTTAGTAGAAGTTCTGTGTCCTACTGTTAGAAAGGGACACATAGCAAATGTGCACGGAGTCAAAGTTTCTCAAGCAGCCCAGGAGGACAGCTGCTCTGCGCTAGCCATACTGTGGGGTGCTGTGGTTGGAGGGGGCCCCGCCATGGCCTCCTGTCCCAGTGTGGCTTCATTCAGTCTTGCCCAGTGTCCTCTCCCACAGGAGGGAGGCTCAGTGCCCACAGCGCGTGAGCGGTAGCTGATAAGGAAGTATTGGACCAGAATTTCATGAACAAAAACAAAAGCCTACTTATCTTCCATGGCAATATGTTTATGAACATGTTAATCATCGTTCATATAAACATCTCAAATTCTTGGCTAAAAATCAGACTTGGTGTTGTTTAGGTCCTGACTTATTTTCAAGGGAGGATGGAACATGGTTATACATCCTAAGAAGGATTTATGAATAAAGGGTTTCAAAATATTTTTCTCTTAGTAGTTGGGTGTTTTTTTCCAGTCACATTTCATGAGCAATACTTTTATGTTTAAAGTGGGAGTGGACCAACCTGCTGACATTTGCTGTTCATTCTGTTAGTATTCTCTCTGGTAAAAAGGACCCAAATTAGAGCTCTTTGCACACTTTTATTCATTTGCACTGACACGCTCAGATAGTAGTTCTGAGATCGTTATCTGTAGGAACCCAGATTCCTGCCTAGAAATAAGTACTGGAAATTGTCTAGACAGGCTTGCTCAAACACGGTTCAGCATGTTCCCAGGTCACCAGGGATCTGGTGAAAATGCAGATTCTGATTCAGTAGCTCTGGACTGAGATTCTGCCTTTCTCACAAGCTCCCAGATGTTGCTAATATTGCTGGTCTGCGGACCACACTTTGAGATCTAGGATCTAGAACATAGTTCAGTATTGACTTGCTTTTTCATTCAGTCAACCGAAGCCCCTTGTCAAGATGTGCCTGTTGGCTCCTGAGTTCGGCTAGATGCTGTTACATTAGTCTTGCTAGTTCAGTTTTCCTTCTGAGACAATTTTCAAACTGAAACTCTGGCTGGCCTTTTTTTTTTTTAGACAAAATGCGACTAGGTGAGTATCCGCGTGCAAAGGGCTCCGAGAGACTTAAGTTGAACTTCAGTTGTAAGTTGATAGTGGCTGCAGATTTAATTCCCATGTGCAATCCCAGCACCAGAAAAGTGAGAATCTGAGGAGCTGAGTGGGAAAATGGCTTATGGTCCAAACTGCAAAAATGCCGGTGGAGAAGGAGGGGTGAGCAATAGCAGAGTTTAAAAAGAAAAATTATCTTACTCAACCAAAGCTATAGAGGGTAGGATTTCAGAGACCACACTGATCGAGATGCATGTAGCCAAACAGACCAAATAAATTAAGGCAACTCTGGGTTGAATTTCACGTTGCATTTCAGTGGTATTCTCTTTGGGATCCGAAAATAGGAAGAGATGCATCTTGAGCAACGTAGTCAAACTTTCTGAAGATTGATCCACCAGATTACCAGTCTAAAACAGGGTCAAATCATCTGTTTAAAGAGAGGCTTCAGACTCATTGTGTTGCCCTGCCCTTCGAGTGAGATTTTATAGCGATTTCTAGGTGTGCTGAAGTATCTGGCTGTGGCTTTCACTTGGCTCAGAATTACACATGGCATTGAACTGAGTCCCCATCAATCCAAGAAGACATAGTTTTGAAGTGGATCTGTAATGAGATTTTGTGTAGAAATCACTTTATGGTATGCACGGTTAGTAAGAGCATGCATGGTAATGTTCTGGAGTATATTTTTGGAAGAACCTTGAAACAACTTAGAGTCTTCATAATCGTTAATAGAACTTGTGTTGAGGATGCAGAAGTATAGTTAAGTTTGTACAGCAAAGTGCAATGAAGATTTACAAGACAAATGATAATGCATTGTAAATACAAGGAAATCATTGGCATATGCTTCAGCTCTTTTTAAAAAAACATTTATTTATTTGTTTGAGAGAGAGAGAGAGCATGAGCAGGGTGAGGGACAGACCGAGAAGCAGACTCCCCACTGAGCAGGGAGCCCAATGCAGGGCTTGATCCCAGGACCCCAAGATCATGACCTGAGCTGAAGGCAGATGCTTAACCAACTGAGCCACCCAGGTGCCCCTATGCTTCAGCTCCTAGGCTCATTGTTAACATGTTGCGTGGGCAATATTATTTCAGTCTTGTGATTGATTTCCTGCAGTTCTTTTAGAGAAATCCTAAATTCATTTAGAGAAAGAGAAAAAGTAGATACTTACATAGAAAAAGAACTGGTCATTTAAGACCGATTTAATATAACTGGGTGAGATTATAAAGAGAAAATGAGGGGTCACCAAGAGAGGCAGCTGGCCGGTAAGGGGATAAGATGGCCATGCTCGTTTCCAAGGAAGAAAAAGAGAAAGGAACGTAAGTGTCATTTGGTGGATTTAGGGGCAGACCTTGAGCAAGGATTGGTGGACTTACCAAATTTGTGAGCACTGTTTTGGATGAGTCATGAAGATAACAAAGGGATGAATTTAGGTGATGGCAGGTAGAAACAGGTCAAAGTAGATTGTGAGAAACTCTTAATATGGTCTTGACCTGTGATTGTAGGAAGTTTCCTTGGAAGACTCACCAAACTCTGCAAAAATCTGTCAGTGAGAGTTGTCAGCTCAATGGGTGAAAATGTTAGATCAATAGAATAAACAATACGGTAATTTCTAAGTAAAACCCAAATCTAATGGAATACAGATTGGGTATTTCTTTGGATTACTGGATTTCCACCCACAATATTTATTCTAATAAACACAAAAATTACAACAATCACAAAAAACAGAGATTATATCTATTATAAAATTACATTATTGATCTTTCAGTTGATTCATTTGTCTTTGCAGATTTACCTTATGACCCACCCAGGAGATCAGCCTGGACTAGTCACGGCCACCCCACCCCCCAGTCGAAAGGTATAGTGTTGGCCCAGCTGCTTGAATCTGCATGTCACAAGGCAGTAGATAACTATTTATGGAACACATAACAATTTCTGCAGTGAATCTATGCTTTTTCAATGCATGAAGTGTTTGTTCCATTGGCAACAAAGTGCACCTGATCTTTAAAGGCAATGACTCTTTGTCTCCTGGGGTTATACCTACTTCCATACTTCCATAACAAAAAGAAACAAATGATGTAATGTATTTCAACAAGGACAAAGGCAAGTCTCAAGAGATGTCTGGGCACAGATTAAATACTGGGTGATTTCCTAATCTTGGCCATGTTTAAAAGTATCCATAGCTTTATTTTATTTTCCTGGTGATTTCCCTTTTTCTGTTTCGTTTAGACTGTGATTCATTTTAATCTGTATCTCAAATTCTTTTTTTTTTTTAGTTTTGGAAATAGTGCTTTATAAATTTTTAAAATAATTTACAGTGCCCTCTTTTTTTTTGCTACAATGTCTACATTTGGTTTCATTAGAAAGGCAATTCTCTTGCCATTAAATGCAGCTTAGTAGAAGAGTAAGACTGCTATGTTAATAACTAAGATAATCGACGGAATGGTAGTATAACAGCATCAAAGACTAATGGTCAAATAGAAGTCACAGCTAACTATCTTTTGCTTTTGGATTTCCAGCCGCTCAACCGTCTCCTTCCGCAGTGCCCAAAACTGAAGACCAGCGTCCTCAGCTAGGTATGTTTGAGGGAACATCTTGCTGGCCATCAAAAAAGAAGTAGATTAGGCAGCGTACTTCTGAAAATGTGTCACTTCCTAAATGAAATTAATGTGATTTTGTCTTCTTTATCATGGGTCCATATATAAAATGTGGACCAAATCATCAATCTTTTCAATAGGGATAGCTTGAGAGTTTGCTAAAACGTTTCTGAAATCTATGCAGTAAATATGGAGAAAGCACTCTGTTGCACGCAGGCTGCTTCTTTCTGACAGATGAGATTTCCTTTCACCTTCAAGCCATGTTCAGTGTGCCAGCATTTTGCCAGGTCCAATGTGGAGCGCAGTGGAGGGTGGATATTGCCAGTGTGCTGAGCAACACAGCCAACATGGCACCGGGGCCAAGAGGGAATGTACCACGTTTGCCCAATTTCTGTCCAGGTATGGAGAGAGCTGGGTGTCGGGAACCCCGAGCCAAATCTGCGCTTGCCCGCCAGCTAAGAGGCCTTTAGCAAGAAACTTCTCTCAGATTCCATGTGACATCTTATTCAGTACAGGAAGTGGTGCTAGGTGACTTCGGTGTGGGGGGTATGTTCAACCCTGAAATCTGGAAACACAAGTGGGTCAGCATTATGCCTCCAGCGACATCATACCAAATCATGAAGAGGTCTTTGGGATTTGACTTCTTTTCTTTTTCCTGTAGATCCTTATCAGATTCTTGGACCAACAAGCAGCCGCCTTGCAAACCCAGGTGAGATCATGCTGGTGATTTTGCTCCTAACAAATTTACCCTTTTTGGGCCTGGCTATTTTGTAAGTTTAACTTGTATCGGTGAGAAATCACTTCAGCTGAACAAAGTTTAGATCTCATTGGATTATTTGCCTAAATGGAAGAAAATGGGTCATATTATGAATTAAGACTTTAGCTTCAGCAAAGAGCAGTATCAGCTAATCTAGGCTGTATCAGTTCCCTTGGGGGCTTCGACCACAGACGTTTATTGTCTCACAGTCTGGAGGCCAGAAGTCCAAAGTCAAAGTGTTAAGTGTCAGGCAGGGTTGGTTCCTTCCGAGGGCTGCGAAGGATGGATCTGTTCCAGACCTCTCTCCTTGGCTTGTAGATGGCTGTCTTCTCCCTGTGTCTCTTTACCTGTCGTGTGTGTGTGTGTGTGTGTGTGTGTGTGTCTGTGTCCAAATTTCCTTTCATAAGGACACTAGTCATATTGGATTAGAACCTACCCTGACTTTACTTTCACTTAATCACCTCTATAAAGACCCTATTGCCAAATAAGGTCACATTCAGAGATCCTGGAGGTTAGGATTCCAACATAGGCATTTGGGGGGGACACAGTTGAACCCATCACACAAGCCAATTAAATAATATCTTGAAAAGGAGAACCTTAATTTCCACCATAAGCCTTCCGATCTAGGATCATCGTCAATGAACGGTCTGTTTTTTGAACTTGGAGGCTAGAAGAAAGTGCACGTTCTTAACTGGCGCACTTGTGACCTGTCCCTTGCCAAGGATCGTCACTTGTCATCACATTTCATTGCCCACCAAACTGTTTGATTTGTTTGTATTCTGATCAGAACCAGCTGTGCTGGCATCAGCCTCAGAAATTCACGGCATATGCTGCATATTCTCAACGGCACATTCAAACGCCAAGATGACACAGGCTTATTGCAAGGACGAGCTGGAATGTATATTTCCTAAACACTGAGGCCAAAATCGGGCTGGAAACGGAAAAGTCCAGATTCAATCAGCATGCATCCCAGCAAGGGAAATCTATATTCTGAGTACATGAAATATCATCATTATTGGGTGTCTGCAGCGTTCACATTCAGTTTTAGGTAACGTTAACTAGTTCAGCAAACACCTTTTGGGCATCTGAGCAGTTAGAAGGGACTGTTCTGTTTCCTACTCTGCCCTGGAGACTGGACCAGGCGCTCGATAATTATTTGTTGAATAAATGAATGCAGGGAATAAGGAGACACCATCCTTGACCCTCAGGGACCTTACATTCTGGTGGAGAAATGAACGCAGGTGGTTCCAACCCTGTCCACTGTTCATGGAGCCACAGGCTCTGTTCTTTTCAGTGAGCATCCAACAGGTGGCCAAGGCTCCTGGGTCTCTGGTCCCCCTTCATCCCTGTGCTCACTTATGAGTGCTCCAAAACTGTTCAAATAGAAATGATGCCCGTGTTTGGAGATGACTGTTATCAGTCGTGCTTCAGGAAGACGGCTCTGGCAGCGGTATTCAGGATAGATTAGAACAAGGAAAAGGAACAGAAGCAGAAGGACTCTGGGGACATTAATACAATCATGTGAAATAACAAATAACTCCCACCCTGTGTAATGCCTGGGCAGGGGCTCGTGTCTATGGTGCCGCCCCTTGAGAGCCCCGGCTGGTCATCATCTTCCTCCTACAGAAGAGGAATCAGAGGTCCAGAGACATTAGGTAACTTTCCCCGGGTCACACAGCCAGTAAGAAGGGAGGCTGGATTTGAGCCCTGACTCTCTGTCGCCAAAGTCCGGTTTTATTTTCTTGCCCTAAGCCGCCCTTGAGTAAGCATGAGGGAGGAGGGAGGGCTTGGAGAATGGAGGCCAAGAGAATAGAAAGGAAGGATTTCCATTTAGTTCAAGGAGTGTTCAGGCACTGGGAAAATGTCTCGGTCCATGGCAGGTCAGCAGCTTCGCACTGGGGGTGAAGACTGCACTTTGTATCGCAAAGACCATCCGCCCTGGGCCTGGGGAAGGTGCCAACATCCCCCCTGGGCCTGGGGAAGGTGCCAACATCCCCCCTGGGCCTAGGGAAAGTGCCAACATCCCCCCTGGGCCTGGGGAAGGTGCCACCATCCCCACTCAGGGCTGGAGGATCAAGATTTGTTTTACTCCGTTTATAACGAATTAGGCCTTCTCTCCGTCTCTCCTTGGGCCGCATGTCAGTTGTGTTTGTGTGGCCTTCTCCCTCCAAGCCCAGAATGTCTTTTATCTTTCTGTGAATGAGAATGCCTCTTCCTGTTTGATTCAGTTTCCCCATTCTCTGATAAATAAATCCGTCATCACTTAAAATTCCTGCCTTCGCTCTTTGTACAGCGCAAAACTCGCCTTTATCATTTGAAGTGGAAAAGTGACATCATCGTGTATACACGCACAGAGCAATAATGGCATCGTAGTGTCCCCGTCCCAGATACTCATTCGATGTGCATTTGATGGGCCGTAGCTCTCCTGCTGAGAGCTGAGTCCCTGCACAATTATGTCATGGGTCACCTATAAGCCATGCAGCGGCTTTCTGTCCCATCAGAACGGCTGCACATTTAATGCGGCTTCTCTAACAGACGGAAAGCGTTTTCTCGGGTTATGTCCAGTGGCTCCTTTGATGCTAACTGGAGACTCTTTAATGGTGGGTGTAAAACGTATCCAGCTTCACGCGCACCCAGAGACCCGTGTTAGCGATGCCTTTGCCATTTGTTTGGAGCTGGGAGTGTCCAGTCTCACACTGGGAACCTCCCAAGCTCCAGGCCCAGGGAAGGGACACCCTGGAGAGGAGTTGGGAGTATGGAGGCGTGTGCAGAAACAATGGTTTGTGCTGTGATTTGGCACCCAGGCTTGGAGTCCAGGTTCCAACCCTTGCTGACCTTGGGCAGGATAAGTCACTCTACCTCTCTGGGCTCTAATTTCCTCACCTCTACAATGGGCTGTCACATGATTGGGGAGGGGTTAAAAAAAACACATGTAAAGTGTTCAGGACGGTGCCCGGCGCATAGTAGGCTTTCAGTGGCCATCAGCCAGCCCTAAAAATACTGTCCACAGTTCTTCACAGCCAACGGGCACGGGGTGCACGGGATGGGGTGGGGGGGGCACTTGGCTTCCTATTGTCATCCTGTAGCTCTAGGTAAGGTGTGTGCCTCCCTTTAAACTCCGGTTTTCACCTCAAACAAATCATGATTTTCAGCCCAAACCTTCATGCACTGAGTTTATCCTCATAGTGACCCAGCGAGATAGTACTATTACCTTCACCCCCATTTTACAGAGGGGGGGCACTGAGGCACGGAGAGCTGGGTGAGCTGCCCAAGGTCCCGTATGTGCCAGCGCCAGGACTCAGCAGAGCCCGCGATGTTTCCAAAGTGGTGCTTCCAGCCACTGTACTGCCCTGCGGTCTCTGGAGTCCTGTCTGGAGCTACACAGAGCCCGGGGCAAAGCCTTCCCCCTGGGACGCGCCTGCTGCCGGGAGCTTAACATGATGGAGGGGCCAGGCTGTGTGCACGGGTTTCTCTGCAGCATGCCCCGCTACAGTAGAAAGTGGTCCCAAAGGGCTGACACCGTGGTGCTCATTGGGCCCCTCTCTGCTTTCTTTACTGCTCTGCCCCTCCGTCAGGTGGCGGCCCAGGGGCCCCGCTCTGGGCCACAGCTGCTGAGTCATTCCCAGCTCTGCTTTTCTCTGTGCTTTACAAGCCTTTTGGATGTTTTGCCCTTTTCTGCTCAGTCGACCTTCTTTGCTACTGTTATTTCTCTTCTTTTCTTTTAACTGCATTAAGAGACCACCTTTCTTCTAAAAATTAAAGGATTGCCTTCTATTTCAGGCTGCACCCCTCCCCCCTTCATCCCTTTGGACTCTCCTGTGGGTGGACAGCCGAGGTCTTTGTTTTTCCCACCAGTCCTGGCTTTTTGGTTAATTACCTTAGACAAAACCAGGGCAAAAGTCGAAAAGCCTTCCTGATGTTTCAGAGCTGCTACCAAGATAGGTCTAGAAAACAGATGTGAAGGGTTTTCCGGAAGGAAGGTGATGGACCAGGGGGAGGTGGTGGGGCTGCTGGAGGGCAGATCCCAAATGTAAGAGCTTCTCTTTCACTTGTTGGCTTGGCCAGTGAGCAACCCAGACCCCTCTTAGGCTTCCTAAACCTTAGGTATCCTTGTTTTGGATTCCCTGCTGTATGTTCTAAAATGCATCTTTGTCGTGCAGTAAATGTTACTGTTTTTAATTGCTTTGAAATTTGTGGCCACAAGGATTTCAGTTAACATACCATTGGCCGAGTTCTCAGCAGCCATGGTGCATCCTTGACAATTCTTGCACAGTGAGAAAACCTGCCCTAGACTGCGAATACAATGGATTTTGTTATGAATATTAAATTTAACAATGAATGAGCTTGATGTCATGTTGCATTTTGTAACATTTACTTAAACAGGAATTGATTTTCCATTTTTGCTTCTGTGCTCGGGTTTGGAAGCCGATGAATTTTGTTACAGATCTCTGATTCCCATAGACCCTTGAAATGCTCTGAGGCCTGAGCCCTGTGTCTTAAAGGCTGCTGGGTAAAATGGTCTGATAAGAAATTGCTCATCTTTGAATTGCCAGCCATGAATTTAGGTCCCTGACTTTCTTTTTTTTTTTTTTTTAAGATTTTATTTATTTATTTGAGAGAGAGAGAGAGAATGAGAGATAGAGAGCACGAGAGGGAAGAGGGTCAGAGGGAGAAGCCGACTCCCTGCCAAGCAGGGAGCCCGATGTGGGACTCGATCCCGGGACTCCAGCATCATGACCTGAGCCGAAGGCAGTCGCTTAACCAACTGAGCCACCCAGGCGGCCAGGTCCCTGACTTTCTACTTCTTCAGGAGCAGGAGAGATAGGAACCACTTTTGTCCACTGGTTCTCTCCTATACATGTTTACAAAGGAAATGGGCAAGGGACAGATTCTTAAGAGCAATGTTGAGGTCTGAATAAATACCAAGTATTTTTCTGGCTATTTAGGAAGGTCTGTGTATTTATGCAAAATCTGTAGAATTAATCTCTCTGTGGGAGGAGGTTGACAGTGAATATTTATTTTCGGACAACTCTATGTGTTTATATTGAAACATACATTGGAATGTTAAATAAAAAATCCGTGTTTTTCCCTATTCCCAGGTCCGATACGGATTTTTTTTCAAGTAGTAATCCTTTGGTTACAATATATATACTAAAACCATATGGTTTTCTCATACCATTCTTTGTATTTTTTTTAAATGCATATTAATGAGATGTTGGGGGCAATAGAACTTGATTGGGAACAGTTTGAATATGTGGTTCAGAAAAAGCATAGGCTTCCATTGAGATGAACGACAAGCTGTTAATATATTTCAAATGTGTTGCGAGACTGAAAATGATAATTTTCCAGAACACATTCAGAAAAGGCTGACCTTTCTCATGATGCTATTGTATGGATGAATTCACAAACATAGCCATTTCCATGTAGCCAGTGTGGAAACAGGGACTTACGAGTTGGACAGTTTATATAGGGAGCTAGGGAGGAGGGAGGATTTAGGAAAAAAAACAAATTTATAATTGATTTTTACATGACATCAGTTCCCTGAAGGGTTGCCAGTTAAAGGTGCTTTAATCAGTTTATCACATCTATTGATATTTACTGATCGTGTAATAAAAGCAATCTTTTTGGTATAAGCCCGAGGTAATGCCGTAGCTGGAGTTTGGGAGGAAAGACGTGCCTCTTATTTGCTTGCAAAGCTTCTAAAATCTGTTCAGCACATCTTAGCTTCTCCTGGTGCTCAATACTGCTGTCAATATCTGCATGCGTCTCTCCTGTGGGGAGCCATAAGTCATCTTAAAGTAGTGTAACATGGTGGCTAGAATGATGTGCCTGGATTTTTCTCGGAATTTAATAAAACCTAAAAGCCACATCCACGCATCTCCAGTGCGATAAAAAAAAAAAAAAAAAATTCTGACTGTGCACCCGCGGCTAAATAAGATCTCAGACAAAGCTGGAGTCTCGTTGGTTCCCCAAAAATCCTTGCAGCCACACACCGTTCTTCTTCTGGAAACTCTTCTGAACACAATTGGCATTGCAATGCAGGGGCAACACGTGGATTTCCGTTACGATGCAGTTGCCTAAGTACTGGAAATAGGTGATCTGGTTTGAAAAAGAGCCAACTTTTTTCTAAACTTCCTCATTCTGAGTGGGTTAATTCTGTTCTAGGAAAAGTTTTGACAGAATTGCTTTCTGGGTGCCAGCAAAATGTTATGTTAGAAATAACGGTGTTTACTTCCATTCTCTATGTTTTTCCATAAACTTTTAGAAGTTCATTTCCTAAATCTGACTTTTATTATTTTACTTGACCTTGCCAATATAAATGGTATTAAGTCATTATTGCCATCAACATAATGGCACTTTCTGCCTCACAAAATAGGAAAAATAAACCCTTTCACCCCTGAAACATAAAATGGACTTGGCTGGTCTTCTAAGGAAGTCAGAAATGGATGGGACCAACCTAAACTTGGCCCCATAGGAATTCTTGGCATTCCATAAAGGACTTGGATCTGTGGATCCACCTGATAGTCACCAAGGATCTTCGCCTCAGGTCAGGTTCCCTAGACACAGAGCTTGGGTTAAGGATATACCTTGTGCAAAAACGATCAATGAAGTATATGTTTCTGTGAGAGAGGCGGTGACGAAGCAGAAAAGGGCAGGGGTCAAGCTATGGGGGCTGGTGGCCTTAGCCGGAACCTTGCCATGGTCTGATCCTGCAAGGAGCTCCGGAGTATGAACAGCATCACAGAATTGGCCCCTCCTTGGGGCAAGGAGATGAGGCTCTGGTCCACGGTGTCAGTCCCTCGGGCTGTGGGCTGCCTGGGGTGGGTGAAGCAGCTCCTCCTCATCCAAGGGCAGTTTTCTGAAGAAGAGGGAGGGAAGCTGCGGGACGAGAGCTGCGGTCACCCCCAGCAGCTGAGGGATGGGTGCACGGGCCGGGTTAAGGGGATTCGCGTGGAACACCACTAGCATCCACTTCTGTCACTGAAGAAACAAAGCCTTTAGCTCAGAGCCTGTTCTCATGGGTGTCCCATTTCCTTTTCCCACCTCCCTAGGGAGTGGACAGATCCAGCTTTGGCAGTTTCTCCTGGAGCTCCTGTCAGATAGCTCAAACTCCAACTGCATCACCTGGGAAGGCACCAATGGGGAATTCAAGATGACCGATCCTGATGAGGTTGCCCGGCGCTGGGGAGAACGGAAAAGCAAACCCAATATGAACTACGATAAACTCAGCCGTGCCCTCCGTTACTATTATGACAAAAATATCATGACCAAAGTCCACGGGAAGCGCTATGCCTACAAGTTTGACTTCCACGGGATCGCCCAGGCCCTGCAGCCCCACCCTCCAGAATCATCTCTGTACAAGTACCCCTCGGACCTCCCTTACATGGGCTCCTATCACGCCCACCCACAGAAGATGAACTTTGTGGCCCCCCACCCTCCGGCCCTCCCTGTGACATCGTCCAGTTTTTTCGCCGCCCCAAACCCCTACTGGAATTCGCCAACTGGAGGTATATACCCCAACACTAGGCTTCCCGCCAGCCATATGCCTTCTCATCTGGGCACTTACTACTAGAGCCGGGAGGGAGGCCTTTCCCAACAGCATATGATCACCAAGAAATTGCTACAAACTCTATTGGAGAACGTGAATCAAAAGTGCCTCAAGAGGAGTGAAATCGCCTGACTGGCTCTAGGGGAAGGAATCCAGGGGAGAGAGCCAAAGACTCTTAGTGGGAGGGAATTACTAAAGTATTACTACAGGAATAAGGAGGATGCTACAAATGTAATGTATATGGACATATCATGTAAAAGACATTGTAAGTAGAAGCATGACATCACAAGGACAAAGTGCCAAAGAAAGTGTTCTTAAGAAGTGTCCAAACTTCTGAGGAGAGTTCGGGGTCCTGCGAATGCCAAGGGGGGAGGAGAGTAAAGTGCTAGTGGTAACGCGGTCGTGACCTAACGTACCATCAAATGTCATTTTAAGGAAAACTACCTGTATTTAAAAAAAGAAACATATCGAAAATAAAAAAAAAAAAGAGAGAAAGAAAAGAGAGAGACTGTGGCCCATGGACCAACGGCCACGTGGAACTCAGCGGCATTTGCTGTTTTGGGGTGAAATCAGATTCTTTCCATTGAGTGGAGAGCCACTGGCTCTCACAGGCTGTGAAGACGACCCAAGGCTGCCAACTTACTCCTTGACAGTATTGTGGGAACTGTGAACCCGGCGGGGCGGTGGGGCTGAGAACGTGTGCGGACGGCGAGCGTGGGGGTGTAGGCGGAGGGCTGGGGCGCTAGAAGAGCAGGGAGCACAGGCTGAGGAGCCTGCGGGGCTGGGAGAGACCCTTGTCGAGCAGTAGAGACTGGACTGAGGACAGTACGGAGACTTGGGGAAACGAGCGGAGGAGACATGTGGGTTAATCGGTCAGTGTTCTACCAAACGCAGTGTTGAGAAGAAGAGCACCGCGCAGCGGAGGGAGGGAGAAGTAGGAGAATTCAGAAACAAAGATATGCATCTCTCTTTTTTGTTTGTTTGTTTGTTTGTCAAAAGAAAATTTTAACTGGAATTGTCTGATATTTAAAAGAAACATTTGGGACCTCATGAGGTGGGGGCTCTGGTCCCCACAGGGTCAGGTGAGAGGTAGCCTTCTTGGTAGCTGCCATCCAAAACCACCTAGGCATTTGGGTTGAGCAGAGGCTCCGGTTTCCCTTCGAGTCGCGAACGCTGTGCGTTTGTCAGAATGAAGTATACAAGTCAATGTTTGTTTGTTTTTTTTTCTTTTTATATAATAATTATATAACTTATGCATTTATACACTACGAGTTGATCTCGGCCAGCCAAAGATACACGACAAAAGAGACAATCAATGATAGAATGTGGCCTTGAATTTTAACTCTGTATGCTTAATGTTTACAATATGAAGTTATTAGTTCTTAGGATGCAGAATGTATGTAATAAAACAAGCTTGGCCTAGCATGGCAAATCAGATTTACGCAGGAGTCTGCATTTGCACCTTTTTTTTTTTTTTTTTTTTTTTATTTTTTTTTTTTAGCGACTAAAGTCGCCCAACAGAAAACTGTGCTGAGCTTTTGGGTTTTGTGCTATACTTTTGTTTTGTCCAGGAACTCATGCAAGTGAGAGCCAAGCAAATGGGGTATTTGGTGTCCAAATGGCGCTGGCCTCTCCAGGTCCTTCTTGCTCACTTTCTCTTATTCCTAGCTTCTTCTGGAGCAGAAGGACCAAAGGTTTCACACTGGAACCTCTGTATTTGTGCCCAGAACCGAAAGGGGCCTCTAAAGCCGAGGTTGTGACAAATTCCATATAAGCGCCTGGTCACAGAATCACCCTTAATTCCTGCTGTGATCATAATACATTTGTTGAACGGCAAACAAGCTCTTAATGCAAACTGTATTCTTGTTCGTGAATAAAGCGTCACGGAGAGCCACAATTTCTCACTCTAAAGAAACAGGGGACAGCTTCTAAATTTGCCATGTGCCTTCCCTTTCAGAGGACCTCGCCAGGTCTTCCCGCACCAGGATGACCTGGGTGTCGTGGCTGGGGACTTGCCGGCCCTGAGCCTGACACGTCACCAGACACTGTGTCTATGATCTCAAGTCGATTTCCCTTGATATCTTTTCTCTTCCGTGTGTCACAAATGCCTCCAACCTTGGCCAGGGTGAAGGCAGTTTGAGCGGTGGGATACAAAGCAAGTGAGAGACAGCGACACTGAACAACTTCTTAGCCTGAGTCAGTTTCTGAATTGGCCCATTTCATAGCTGTTTGGGGGCTTGTTTTGCACTTTGTAATCCTTTTGCTATGATTAAATCAAGTTGCCAAACCTCTGTGCTATGGATATTTTGGCAGTGGTCTTTAAAGTCAGTATGATCCGATTACCAAAGCTTCAGACACTCTGCATTACTTGGATTAAAAAAAGTCCAACCATCAGTCATTTTGCAGCAGCTTGGGAAGGGTCCATAAAGTGCCTGTATCTCCTTAGGGAGAGAAGAAATAAAAGCATAAAAGTTGGCAGTTGGGGTGACCCAAAACTTTCTAATGGAAAAGATCAGTCATCTTTATTTTGGAATGCAAAGTCAAGGACACCTACATTCTGCATATAAATACGAGTTTACTGGGATAATCACTCAATTCCACTCCTCCAAGATTATATCATGAGCAAAATAATAAAAATAAGACCTGATTACCATATTCAACTTTAGCAGATGTTTTCAGTTAGGTTCTCCAACACGCCCCTCCCCAAACCAGATTATTAGCAAGCTTTATGACAAGCGTGAGCCACTGAGATAATTTTGGATAACATGATAATGCTCTGTTCTCACAAATAAATAATGCTTAAATTACATCTCAAAATAACATTAGCTATCTGCTCCTGCCTTAATCTAACTCCAGAGCACGCTTCAGTTCATATTCGTAATTGAATATGAAACTTTTCTCTCTCTGCTTCTCCCATCTCTTGGTTTGCCCTCACGTACACTCCCTGTCCCTGCATAGTATCGCTTCTCCTGGTGAGAGATCTGTCCATTCTTGTCTTCAATGGTCTTTGGGGCTTCATCATGAGTGGAATCCCTGCAATAGCTTTGTGGGCACTTTGTGGCATCCCTGCTCTTTTCACATCTCAGGCAAGACTTCATTTTTGCTCCCAGTCTGATGCCTTTGACAAGTCTTGGAAGGTCCATGGTGAAGAAAGAAGTCTGTCAGGACTGATGCGTTCAAGGAGTTGCTGCCCCTCCCAAGCACCTGTCTGTGTCGCTGCAGCACCTGTCACCTGGGAACAAGGGCCTGGAGGGGCCTTGCCTTGGATGGTGGGCGCAGCAGAGACTGCTGATGCTCAGGAGCTAGGAGCTGATAGCAAACAGGGAAAACACGGATGTCCCGCAGGCCCCCAAATGGACCTTTACCTGTGGACACAACATGACTTTATTTAAAGCCTGGGTTAATTGGTCTCTCATCACTCCACCTGAATACAAGTTCTGGGATGGCTACTCAGAGAAGAAAAAAAACACTTTGGACTACTCAAAGTTATAGCAATTTCCATTCCTTCTCTTTATCTTAAACTTGGCTTTAAAAATGTGTTAAAATGTTTTTATATCCAGTGAGAAAAAGGTTGGATATAGAAGTCAAATATTAAAAGTAACTAGAACCTCTTTATTTATCAGTGGTTCTCAAAGTGAGGTCCCAGGGCCAGCAGCATCAACCTCACTTGGGAACTTTTGTTAGACATGCAGATTCCCAGGCCCCGGCCCAGACCTCCTGAATCAGAAACTCTGTGCACGGGGCCCCGCCACGGGTTCTGGCAAGCCCTTTGGGTGATTCTGATGCATGCTGAGGTCTGAGAACCACTGCAACGGAGGGAAAGAGAATTTGTGTCTCCCTGTGTTGATGTTCAGTGGGAAATCTCAGTCCCAAATAGGTTTTCTTGCGGCTACATGAAAATCCACCATCGGGGAAGCCAGTTGACTCTGGACATGTCCCCCTGAGTTACGGGCCCTCTGAGCCTCTCTCCTCCCTACTGTTAACTCGTCCCCATGTGTATTAGTTCTCTATTGCCCAGGAACACAGGACCATGAACCCAGCAGTCGGAAGCAATGCACATCTATTATCTCACACTTTCTGTGGGTCAGGGGTCCAGGCATAAGGTAACTGGGTCCTATGCTCAGGGTCTCACCAGGCTGAAACCTGGTGTTTCAGATAGGACGGTGTCAGGTAGGAGTCAGGACGGTGATCTCATCTGAGGCTGGGGTCCTTTTCCTAGCTCACTTGTTGTTGGCAGAACTCAGGTCCTTGCAATTATAGGACTGAAGTCCATTTCCTTACTGGCTGTCACTCTCAACTCTCCGAGACCATGGTGAGTCCTCTCCACATGGCCTTCTCCACAGCAAGGCAGTTTCTTCTTCAAGGCCAGCAGGAGACTCTCTTTCATGTTGAATCTCTCGGACAGTTTTTAAAGGTTCACCTGATTAGACCAGGCCCACCCAGAATAACCTCCTTTTTAAAATTAACCCAAACTTACTTCATTAGAGGCTTTAATTACATCTGAAACAGTCCTTTTGTCATAGAATATAACCTAATCGTGGAAGTGACAACCCATCATATTCACAGGCCCTGCTCACACTCCAGTAGAGAGGGTTAGGAAGGGCATGCACACAAGGGGATGGGAATCTTGGGGGCCAAATTAGAATTCTGCCTGCACACCATGGATATATGACCTGTCTTTTAGCTTGTTCTAAGCACCTCTGGTCAATCAAACCTCCTTAAAATTGCCTCCCTAAAAACCACCCTAAAATTGCCCGGTAGATCAGCCACAACTCAGTAGCCTTGCCTATTTGAAGCCATGTACTCTGTTGCTCCCTTTCTCACTGGCAATGTGGCCTCTTTCAGCCTGTCTGATGGTCTTTATCTGACCAATCTGGAAAACTTTACGTTGAAACCGTAAGGGCTAATGCTAACTGCTCGACAATATTTACATATTCTTTTGATGCTATCTAAAAAGCAACCCAAGTTATTTCTACATAGAAGGAACTATGCATATTTTTCTAACCTGTAATTTTTATTTTAAA